AAAAAAGTCAGAGGCAAATGAATGTAAATGAATGCACGAAATGAATGTAAATGATTTTCCATCCCTGACTCTAGCTCTTCCAACTAGAGGGATCTCAACAGAGAAAAAAAGGACTACGTTCACTTTCCACTACCAATCTTTCGTGACACAACGGCTTCAGTTCGTCAGTACATAGTCTGTGAGACGCAGCGCCAGCTCTTCACCGGCCGAATCAACTCGGGACCAACGCCGAGATCAGAACCGACAACTCCAGCGGCCGAAAATAAGCGCGTCTAATGGCGGCCGCGGCACACTTTGAATGCATTTCTGAAACACAACCTCAACGCAAAAACACTGCGACAACAACATTCGACAAACACGCAGCAATCAAGGGAGAAAAAAAAATGCACGCACAGAGCACGGCACGAGCAGAACTGCTAACGTTGAAAACCAAACGCGAACTCTGAACTTTGTTGCAAAATGCTTAGTATTTAAAACTTCAAAATTTGTTTGCAAGAGCAAGATTTTAGGAATCTTTTAATAATTTGTTCGGAAATCTGTATAAACAGATTTATACAGAAACTGCAGTGATTTGGAAATCTTGTTGAACTAGCGTTGATTTAAAATCTTATGACAAATGTATCAGATTTTTAATTTCTTTTGGGATTCAAATTGTGCAAAATCCTTTTTGATTTAATTTTCGTTACGTAAATTGGCGTACATGCTACGTAAAAATTGAATATTCTTATAACAATATATTCAATTTTTGGTTAAAATCGTGATTTATAAAACCAGGAAATTTTCGACCAGGAAAAACCTGATATTTTAAAATGAAAATCGATGTACTCTGATCTTGGCATACGAAGATTCTTTTGATTTTAGCGATCATGAAACCTTCGTACGCGCTGGCAATCACTTCTTGAATCAGATATCTGCCCATAACTTGTATTGGGGCCATTATTATCATTATCTTCCACCCAGTTACTATTATCGGGAGGAATTCGATACGGCTCTGCAATGATTTTTAACGACGGACTTTCTTTCTGTTGTGGATTACCACAGCAGTTACTGTGTTGTGTCGCAATGATTGAGTTTTATCTCCATTACTTTTGGCTCACCATCTCCTTTTTGTTTGCTGTGTATTTGAACTCTCTCGGGCAGGGTGGCATCAGTCTTGGGAAAATATCAGAACAATCAGATTTCACCAATGCCCAAGATCACGGTTGATTTTCGAAAACAAAAATCAACAAGCAAGCAACTGCGGATGACATTACAAGCTGTGATATCGTAGCTACGAATATCAAGCTAACAAAACTCACCAGTTACAATTCTAACCAAATTGTGTTGAGTTTGAGTTCCATGATTTTTGCTTGACATCCGAACACGACCCGAAACTACCGTCCCTGCTGGCAGCAGTAGCTTCGTGTCTGCCATCGGTGAAGAGTAAAGATATATGGCAACTCTCAACTTCATTTTTACATGTTGTGAACAGTCTCTAAATATCAAAGGAGCTTGTAAAATCAATATCGAACATGAAATTTTGTTCCAATATCACGCGTTATATTGAAAGCGTATGAGAGCGAAAAAATGTTATTTGATTCATGATTTTGCCAACACTGATTCATGCACAATTTTTCGTACAAAATGCTCACTTGTTGAAAGCTTTGCACTCACTTGATGACATATGATTTTTCTTAAAGTAATCCATAAACAAGAGATTGAGGTTCATAGAGGTACGAAAAACACAATAGATTTACATTTAGGCTAAAATCTATTCTCATTTTTGCGTCACAAAAATGATATTAGAAACAATCGCTGCTCTTTTCAGGTTTTCAAAAAAAAAACTCATTGGTGCTCATTCAAATGTTAAAATTTATCTCTGATCGTACGCTATCATTATCTTAAAGTAAAACCAAGTTTGATGAGCTAAGTGAAAAGTTAATAACAAAATAACGAATTGTTTAAACAAAATTAAACAAATTAGCAATCCTGCTCTCGGTATATGATCGTTAGGAACCTCCGTTTTGCAGAGCTTGCACCTCGGCCGCTTTGTGCAGTCTCTTGCCGTGTGACAGTTCTCACCGCACCTTCTGCTCAGCTCAGAGGCCACATTATGCAACTAACTTGAAATGACTTTTTTATACAAGCGCTCATACCAAAAATGCTTCGTTTCAACTTCCGCAGTGAGGCCCCAGATCTAGCTCATGTTCCGGTGAGTACGAGTCCGAGTCTTCAGAATAGAAACGACCTTAAACATGCCAAATCCATCATGCACGCATCAAATCACGATTCACAACCATAATCATTGGTGGTCATTTTGAGTGATTGTCCAAGAGACGACATTGGCCACATCTAGACATGATCCGGATGCATCTGTTAAAGTGACCATAATTTTTTATTTTTTTATTTTCAAAAATAATTAAGCCAGTTTTTGAATTTAAATTAATTTCACAATCGCCAATCGTCCGAAGTATTTTGAGCTTTCTTCACTACATGAGTTGAAGTTGATTGATTAATTAATCATTCCCCGAAATGACGCATTTGAATTTATTTCATTTACTTAACTTACTTTGGTGCGATGTCCAAAAATTCAAACCCAGCTTTTTTTCAACGCATCATTTAGAATGCAAAAAAACTCTCGTCATTACATTCCTTTTGCACGGTCGATCAGACCGACACAAAATTGAGTCATGTCGACACAATTTCGGCAAAAGTGAATTTACTTGAAACTGAGTTTAGTTTTCCAGGGAAATCTTCTCGAATATGAGGAAAATCTTTGTACATACCTATACTCCTAAACTGAGTGAATGGATTTTCCTCATATTCATACATAAATTCAACTAACTTTTGAGTAAATCCACTGACGCGAGCTTTTCAAAATCTGGAATGATGCATCGAAAAAAAAAAACTGGATTTGATTTCTTCTAAAATGCACCGAAATAAATGTGAGCACAATTTTGCATTCATATTGAATCTGATGGCGTCCGTCTGAAAGGTATTTCGCCGAACAATCCATCAGACTAAATATGTCACCTCCTATCAAAAGGCTTAATCTCCCGACATTAAAACAAATTGCTCTGCATTTCAAATCCGATTGCTTCCTTTTTCTTCCATTAATATGCGCCCACCCCAACGCAAACAAACTGAAAAGTAATCGGAACCAATGCAAAACGGGATAAAAATCAACAAACTTCAATCTGACTAAAAAACCGCTCAAATTAAACTCAATTGACTGACCCTGCCATGAAAATGCTGTCTTCCACTTCCATCTGACTGCTCGTCGAGAGTTCATCTTATCCAATTTTCGGGCCCTCCGAAGAGCAAAGACCAAGTGCAGACGGTGTTACGTATCAAGAAAGAAACAAAATCACGTTCTCCTCTAAGCTTTCTCGCCCTGAAGAGGGTCGTCCCGAAAGTACATCACGCGTCTTAGTAGGCGGCGAAGAAATGCTGTCGTCTGTCTGACTGGCTGTCTTATAAACCGGTCCTTCCTGTACTTTACGGTAATGATTATTATTACGCGGTGCGAAAAGCGAAGAAGGCAAGGAAAAACACACAGCGAAGGAATAAAAGAGAGCACATTATCATTCAATTTGACTCTCGTTCCCCGCGAGGAAAGGTAAACTGTTTTCGTTAGCAACCTGCCTCCTGCGCCAGGGCACTACTTGAGAACGAAAACGAAACATGAGCAAAGATTTCCTCCTTCCTTTCACGTGGATGATCTTTCTCAGGGTGGTTTGGGAAATTGTAAGGGTTTCTACGAAATGAAATTTAAGCTTCCATCAACAAATGGTAGGTTTTTCCTTGCGTTGCTTACTAATTTAGGTACATATGCTCGTAATTATTGTGAGAGCCCTATTCAAACGTCCTTAATTTAGCCTACTGTGTGCTTTTGTTTGGGGTCCACAGACGCAAGCATGATGATAATCAGTGCCATCGTTTCTCACCACTCACATTCTTGTTGGCAAGTCTACTATAAGGCTATAACCACACACTGTTGAAAGAGTAGAAAATCCCACTTTGTAATCCACCCGTACGGGTAGTGATAAAGCTCACCTACTCTCCTACATTTTCTATTTAGGGTTAATCTCACACCGTTCCTGCACGTTCTCTATTCGTGACAGTGTGGGGAGGGCTAGTTTTGTTTTTGATCTCGTTGAAAACCCCTTTTGTGAAAGTTTTTCGTCAACCAAAAACCAGACTTTCTTGGTTTCAAAGCATCCGGTTTCTTTATCGTCTGTTTCACTTTTCCGTTCTTTCTAAACGCTGACGGTTTCATGTCGGATACGATAACCTTTTCTTGGCGATGATTTAGGTAGTTAGCTATGGTTATCAAAATACAGTAAGCGTCCTATTTTGGCAGCACAATTACAATACCAGTCAAAACAATCAAATCTAATATAGTTGGTAAAATCGGACGCACAAAAAGTTCTCAATAATTCAATCACAATTCAATGTTCAATGTTACACTTTCGCTCTCTGTTGCTAGAAATCAGTTTCTTGAGTTGCTCCTTACCTAATGCTTGCATTTTTGTTGTTCTTGTTTCACTCTCAACAATGATACGTGTCGGCAAATGAAAGTGTATTTTTCCATTGCTCCTGTAAATATTGTAAACACCAATAGTTACTCCGTGAATAGTGAATCTAAACCCAACCATCCTTGTGGCTCTAAACTCAAATACCTATGCATTACACTCTGGAATCCTAAATCTTCATAGATAAACATCGACTTATACATAAATAAAAAAAAAGTATCATCCATAATCATCACTTTCATGTTTTTATTTTCACGTGACAGTTTTAAGTTTCACCCGAATTTCTGTCTATCTCTCTCTCTCTCTGTCTCTCTTTCAATCTCCATCCATTTCTTCCTGTTCGATGTGTTTTCCCTGGTGACTCAAAACTGGCTTTGTTTTCTCTAATCTTCTTTTCCTTGTATATTTCAATCAAAACCCATCCGTTATTGATTTCCATGGCAACACATTGTTATTTTGGATGACATTGGCCCCACCGTCGAGCAGCATGTGATATGAACGTACACAAGCGGTGCGAGGAGAGCGTGCCGAATTTGTGCGGCTGTGACCACACCGAGCGACGAGGGCGCATCCAGCTGGCCACTACGCACCAGGCAAACAAGCTCAACATTTTAGGTGAGTAGCGATAATTATCGTAGATGGTGTTAATTAAAAAATGAAAGCGTATTTTCTCGGATGTGGATATTGTGAAATATTTTATATTTGATTAGTTTGAGTTGAGTGGGCATTGCTTCAACGATTATCGTGCTAGATATGATTGATTTGGTAAACAAATCTAATACCCCGTTCATACTACAGCCACTACGAAATTGGCGTTGGGTGCAATGGAACTCAATTTGTTCCATTCTTCTGTAGCGTCATAAACCCCAAGTAATTAACACACCCGCTAATTTGCCTTTTTGCAAAATTATGACTTATAACCAACCAATAGGGAAAAGTGGGGCAGTTTGGCCATCTAGAGAAAATAATCACTAAACATACAAAATTTAGAGGGAAATTCGAATGATTTTTAACCAAATGTATAGTTTCAAGCCCTATTTACATCATGATGTCAAATTGAATATTAAATTTATTTTTTATTTCAATCTTATCCAAGAAGTTTTTTAAAAATTTCGTTTTGAAACCGAAATTATGCTTTGTATGAGCGACCTTGTAAACAACAGATAAGAATATTATGTTCTCTTGAGGCTTTATGAAGGGTAAAAAATGAACACTTTTAGCATAACAATTATTTTCTGTAGCATGAATTAAATTTCAGAGGTACTGCCTATTGAAGACTACATTTTTTCAGTCTTGTGAATGACTGATTTTGAACCAAAGCAGCTGCTTCAAAACGTGATTTCATACAATCATATTTATGAAAGGAATAATGCAAAATTTTAGAATTTAAGTTGAAATATCAGTGGGGCTAGGGGGCGACTTCGGCGTAGTGGTTAGCATCCATACCTCTCACGCCAAAGTCACGAGTTCAAATCTCACCCCCGGACAAGTCAAGAATGACCCAAGAGCGTTAAAGTGACTATAATAATAATAATAAAAAAAAATCAGTGGTGCTCGATAAAATTTTGAACATATAGCTGACTCCTTCTGGGAACGTTATTTCATGTCCCAGGCTTAAACGATCGTCGGTCGCAGTGATTTGTTGAGATATACGGGGCTCAGTGTCTTAGGAGTGATTGTTTTTGCTTACTGAGCAGAAGATCGTGGGTTCATCACCTGACCACTTAACGTTACTTAGTTGATAGGATCGCATTATTTGCTGATCAGGTTTTAAAAAATAACTTTCCAATGTGAATCCAAATTTAATTTACCCTTCCCACAGTAACAGCGGATGTCAAACTAACAATCCCTGTCAAACTAACAATTCTGAATTTTTCATGCGTGTAAACTTGTATTCAGGGATCGGGTGCTACTCAATTTTTAGCGAGTAAAACACACACTGTTGCGAGACTGCACATTCATTTTCAAAGAGACGTGAAAGAGCATTTTAAATCGTGCAGCACATTTCTCGCGTAACATTTGAAAAGGGCCTATGTTCAAAATGTAAACAATCCAGAAAATGAATTGTAAATTTTTTCGCCAGTATTTAATTCCTATATAAATAAATTGAAGTATTTTAGGTATTTATATTTTTAACAATAACAATAGTAACTATATCTCAGTACACAACATCCAAAACATGTGAAACGTTTTCAAAAATACATGAAAATCGATAAAAATTTAATATCACAGTAATAAGCCTTTTTGTGAATCTTTAAATGGTTAGGCCCTTTTTGTTAAGCCGTTGTGCTTGTCATCATAAATTGTAGGCCCTTTGCTAAGCCTTTTCTTAACGTCAAATAAATCATCGGCCCTGCCTCAAGCAGTAGGGCCTAGCTTTGATTTGAAATTTTTCAACCATCGGCCCTTCTACGTCGCTAGGCTTATGAATGGAACCTCATCGAACGAAAATAATATATGTTAGGCCCGAGGTTAGGCCGTTTTAGCATAAATGATTGGAAAAATTTCGTGGATCGGCCGTTTTTAAAATCAAGTTATTTTTAATGATTTTTATCGATAATGCGGAACATTCCTATACGACTGGTAGTTAATTACCAGTGCTACAGAATGGTATCAAAAATCGGTTTGTTTACATTTTGATCATAGGCCCTATTCAAATGTTACGCGAGATTTCATTCTTCTTGTGGTGCAGAGCTGCCGCTCCAACGGTGTTAAGTCTCTTTCTCTCTCTCTCTCTTTGTTTTTCCGACAGTGTATTTTCTCTATAACTGTAGTGTTGTAGGATAGATAGCATCAGTGCTGTTAATTTGCATATCATTCGATTGAAGATGAACCAATACACATATTCAATCAATCATTTTAGATGGTCAAGTTTTGAAACCACCACAGCATGCTTTTGGCGCTACTGTATATGGACGATCAAATGTAAAATATTGTGGTAGCATTTTCAGCATTTTCATTGATCTATTCTGTGCAAAAGAATGCTCTCGTGCCCATCATTTGAAGAGCCCTTTTCTCATTTGTCACTGTCAATTGAGTCACTCACTTTCATTTGATATTCGATAGTGGAGTACACCGAAAAAAGTTTTCATATAGGTTTCCACATGATATTTTTCCAATAACAAAATAAGTGATCTTTATCTGAAATTCACATAACATTCATATGATCACATGAATTCTATGTGATAAATCACATAGATTTCATTGGACACATAAGGTTCATGTGATTTTAGTGCGATTCTCAATTATGAGATCACATGAAAGTTATGTGAAATTCTAATGGATATTTTCTATTGGAAATGTGATTTATTTTTTGAGTGTATGGAAGAAACCCAGCAAAATGGTCCCGAACCGACATATCAACCCGATGTCGGATCAATGTAAGGCATTTATTTAGCATTCCGCTAACAACCCAATTTCATTACTTCATTATGATGGCTACCAAGCCTTTGGGGATTTTCCTTATTAGAGATTTGTATAGATTTTTCTCCTTTAGCTTACTTAAATCTTTGGTTTTTATTAGTTAGGTAGGTTCCGATTCAACACATTGTAGTTTCATTTTTATACCTATGATCTTGACTTTTTTACTTAGGGGATGAGTACTTAAGGGGGTTAGATTTTGATAAGTTCTTTAGTGGGAATGACACTGATGAAGGCTGCACATTGTAGTCGAAATACGTATCTGTCATGGATACAAAAATTAATTAAGTGGAATTAAATGGAAGATAAACCCTTTTGCTGTTTTATTTAGCATTCCGCTAACAACCCAATTTCATTACTTCATAGTTGGTGTAGTTTTATGGAATCGTTGGTAGAAAGTCACGCCAAAACTGCTTGACAAAGTGGTCAATTGCAATTTCTGGAGGTAATGAACAAAAATACGAACAATTGAATGCGTGGAGAAATGTCAGATATGCTCAATCAACTTCTCAGCAGGCAATAATAGTGTCTCCAGATTACCAGTGTTTGGCTAAAAAACGATCTTTAGCAAAGTTGTAGCTGATAAATTTACTACAAGAATGACATCGAAATTTTTCTTTGAGCAATACGGGAAACGGCTATAAGGCTATGTACAAAAAGTTTGATTTCCCAATAGTAATTCTCATATAAACTTAAAATAGTTTGAGCAGAGCTAGTTTCTAACCAAATGATATCAAAATGAGACTAAGAGGACCCGGTTTTTGAGCATTTTAAGTGAAGATTTCAAATTCTACATCAGTCTAATGCTCATGCTCATGCTAAGTAATTTCCATGTAAACCTCAAATGGTTTTTGAAAATCAGTATTCAACTAAAGGAGTTCAAATTTTGGAAGGTAATCAGGATACAGTTTGGAACCGTTTGAAAAGAGTTGAGCAAAAATTTGCATCACTCTAGTATGCATACCATCCCTGGTAGGGATAGAAAATTGAAACTGTTTCAACTTGAAAATGCTTGCTGTCACAGAAAAAGTTGAAACACTTTGAGTCTTTTGTTTGCTCGGGTTAGTAGATGAAATACCTAAAAGAGCACATGGGATTATCCCTTATGGGCAGTTAGCGAACCTAGTGCACGTGCTTCGAATGTTTCACGTTTTTTTTCCCATCCGAGAATGCTCAGTGAACTGGAAATACAAATATCATAAAAATGTATACCCTTTTCTATCTCCGTTTTTCACCGCCATTCTGTTCTGCTCTTTTAACTCCCGTACATCCTTCTGTTTGATGACACGATAGGATAGCCAGCAGGCACTAGCGATCCGCCGATCCATTCAACGTGTGACCGATGGACAAAAAAAATGGATCACCTGAAACCTACCCATTCATTGTGTGTTCATGACCGGTGGATGGTCCACGGACCTAGGGGGCTTTTGCACCTACTTTCACTAATGGGCGTCCGCACGGTCCATGAGATCGACTCAACAATCTAATATGATAAAAGTTTTGCTCAGTCTAGGATCTTTCGATTTTCCTCATATTCTAAAAGAAAAACGAGGAAAATTTTACTCAGTCTATGAGTAATAAAAGTTTTAGCAAATTTGATTGAACGAACCTCAAATTTGAGTTGGTTCAATCGGTCGTGCGGTTCCATTTTTCGGACTGAAATTCACATGAATGAGCCACGTGACTGCAAACCGTACAGGGGTGTGCTTGGGTGCATATCTTCCTTGTCAATTACAACACAAGACAAAGTCAGCAAAGAGTCCACACAATCGAAGGCAGCCGAGAGCTCTCCAACAGAATAAAAGCAGCGCATCAGGATACATTTACGAAGCAGAATGCATGGCCTACTAGGTCGAAAGGGTAGTTGGGGCAAAGCAGGTTGACGTGGTGGTGAGGTTTCTGTGGCAAATGGAGATAATAGAAAACAGCAGCAGCGAAAGCGATTCCTTGCTACCTCAGTATCTCGGTCGGGTGTAGTTAGCCGCATATGTGCAAATAGCAATTTTCGGTTGCCCGAAATGGGCTAGGAGATAAGCTCCAAGGATTGGGTGGACGACGACGAAAATGACGGTGGTTGTCGTCGGTTATCGCCAAGTTGGAGCAGTAAATGGGCTGAAGGATGCAATCGGATGGAAAGCATTTGTCCCATAAAGAAGCCAGTTGAGCGAATAAGCTTTTATCATGATGGAAGAAGA